TGTTTTTATCGCTGGACTAACTTGAAATCATTAACTAGACCGAAATAAACAAAAAATCAGTTCACACAACTATCATGTAAATTATCCTTTGTTTAGTTTGGGTTTTCGGCTGTAGATGGAGCCACTTTACGCTTTTTTACACCACAGAGTGGAAAACATTGTTTTTAACGTCATTTATATGGAAAACAATGTTTTCAAACGTAGTGAAAGCTAGAACTTATTAAAAATTTATTTATTTTAACCCATATTGTAATAAATATCAAATTTTGCTCTTCACTTTCAGTGTTTTGGTCAAATTTTAGTAGTAAACGTATTAAATTTTACTGTCCATGATAATTAAATTTAATTATCGGCTCATCTTCAATACTCCATGCTTCAGGAAAGTATTAAACGAAATTATTGGTATTTTTCCCATTGCTGTTTAGCCTGATATTGCCCATCTTTTGTTTAGTGTCATAACTGGATGCCCTTCAGCCGCTTCTTAATGCCCTCGTCTGCCTTAATCTACTTATAGCCGGGAAGAAACGTAGAGGGTTTCAGAGGTTCCATCACATAATATCTTTCTCCTGCTTTCGTTTTTACTGCCTTTCGTCCGGAGCTGAGCGTCCTTCTTGCTCGTTTAACGATTATAATTCTCCAACCGCGCGCTGACAGCCATCCGTGTTTAACAGCCTTCATTACGTCAGACATGTAATCCTTCAATTTAGAATTTAGAAAGATTTTTCCCAAAATTATATTGCAAAATTGCTATATTTTTAATATCAGCCATTTTTCACTTCGTTTTCGTTTTCTCTTAGATTTTTTATTCCTCCGCCAATATTTGTTTGTAAACCTGTCACGTTTCGAGCTGTACGAGTCAGAAATTAATTTGCGAGTTGCAGCCAGCACCACATTTTTTTATCACGTACGTAGGGCTATCGGTAAACTTGAAATTGAATGACTTTGTAATTGACACCGAAGAGGAATCGCTACACGGATACATTCATTGATTTCGAGCATGAAATTCGAATGAAATCGGTCACCGGTTACGCTGCGCCGCGCGCCAGCCTGAAGGCACATTTATCATATTCATGAAATTTGCAGCGCCGCCGAATTTATTCCGGCAAGGCATGAAAAAAACAATAAAAACTTTTTTGCGGTACAAAAAGTGAAACATGACGCACGCCCGCACAGGGTTGGATTACTCGTCAGATACCTTACGCACTTATCAATCATCCGGGTAATTACATGTCGGGGTAGTGCCAAAATGTCAAAAATGTCAACGTTTTTTTCTAATCGATAATTCTAATAATTCTAAAGTATATATTATATGAATAATAAATTCTGCAAAAATTTTCTTCAAAAACTTGTTCATATTTACGAAATCAATAAAAATATCTGAAGAATTTTACATTTTTCATCTTGTATTTCAGTGCTATTTACAAATATATACAACTAGTTTAACTGATGTAAAATGTGGGTTGCCTACATAGAGGTCCCGGTTCATTGACGAAGTTGTATAGTTTATAGTGCTACACGTCAAATGAAACTTTCTATGAAGCTTTTCTATGCGCTGCACGGCACGCATAATGAATGCAAAGAAGCGTTTATTATTACACGAATAAACTTGAAGCGGTTGGCAGCGATAAGGAGCTGCTGGGGATCGACTCAATTCGAAGCGTACACATAATAACTAACTATGCGCCGACTTTCAACGTAAGTACAATGGTAATTTTCGTCATTCTGATATACGGAGCGAAAACGCACGTATCCATCGCTTTTCATCCAATTCTTGCTCTCCTACACATTCCACATCTATCCTTCGATCCGTGCGCCGTCGTCGTCGTCGACGGGCTTTATCTCACTTGCGTCGGCTAACATTCTATTTTGTTAAATAAAGTTTCCGGCGAATTGCTGCAAAGTACCTTGCGTTTAGCTTTCGTTCGGAATTGGACGTGGAATTGGAATTGATGCCTGAAGACATAACATTTTCAAAGCGACGACACGAACTAGTGTGTGAAGAAAAAAAAAACGCTTTGCGCGCTCTCAAGGAAGAAACATGCGTAACACGACTGAAAGTATTTCACCTCTTCCGGCTACGAAAGCGGAAAATCTTGTTACATGACTTTTGTGATGGGATTTTCAAACAATCGATAAATAATAAAAGATTAGTTTTATATTTTCATTTGATAGAAATCTAGATTTTGTTAAATTAAGTTTAAATTTAGTTTAAAACTTGATACGTTGATTTCGCAGATTTTCCGAGGTCGGATACAAAACTAGGTCATTCGTTCGTCCTTCGGCTAGGTCTGGATTATGGACGCTCGGGTTACAACCCTTGCATTATTAGCCTATTTATGTGAAAACATCCCAGCAACTCTTGAAGTCATTTAAGTGTTTAATTAATTTTAACGCGTAGGAAAATTAAACAAAACAATTTTTTTTTAAATCTAAAAATGTAAATCTTTATCAAAATGCATTGCTCTCATATGATCCAATTGCTCTACAGTCGACGACGACATCAAAACGAGAGCACGACTATTGATTCCACGAAAATGGGAGCGTTTTACGTAACCGCCCGGCGCGATGCGGAAAGATCGAAGCGGAGTTCAAGGTACTCGTTGCTGTTTCCACCACACAGCCACCACATTCTTTAGCATACCTTATATGTCGCAATTCTAATAATATTGCCTGATCTGAATATCCCCCCGGTGCAGAAATTCATTAACCAAAAGGAAGATTCCTCTCCTGACCCTAAATTACTCCGGCGGCTGTAACTCACCGGTTGCTCTCCTCGCAATCATGTGTTTTATGACTTTAACTCCAGGGATCCGACATCTTGGTCATAGGCTGGAGACCCTTACAAGCCTATGAAGCTCCAATTTAAATAATGTTAATTAATGAATACCGCCTTCCTTCAAAGACCCTGTGTTAATTCTATTTTAATCATCACTATATATTCGTGATGTGATGTGGAGTCTTACTGCATTCATGCTGCACGTGTTGCAAAATTATGTAATTCCTGCCTAAATTGAGATTAGACTATCAGATGTTATACGCTAGGATAAATGACGTTTTCGAGTGATTTACGTTTCAAATGAGATATAAACGCGACCTCATTTATGCTTGATTTGCATCGCCGTGTGGAATTGAACATTAACGATCTGTATTTCTGCGCGCGAAATTCTACACCACCATCTGCTTAGATTTAGGTTAGGTTTATCCAGTTTAGGATATAATATGATGAACTGCTTCTAATGCTTTCTATTTCTTTTCTCCTTTCATTCTGTTACAACAGAGTATTTCCTTGCGGAATGCTTTCAGAAGGGAAGAGTTTCTAACAAAATTTTGCGCATTCATATTTAACGTGCTTTCCGTGTTTGTGGGGCAAACTCAGGAGCAACTTGGCATAACGCTTAGTAAACATTAGTGCCAGTAACACGTGTCATGAATACGAGAGCGCCTTTCGTTGCAGGTCACAATAAAACGAGCATTCATAACGTCGCGCGAGTAAATCATCGATGAAGCGAACCGAGTGTAAAGCGATCCCAATTCGGATTTGCTGCCATTGGCATACTCATCGTCAAAGCCATGAGTAGGGTAAGGTAAGATGGTGGTAGAGGCCTCGGGGGTGGCGGATTGGGGAAAACGTGCTGACGTCAGGGAATCCGAAAGCTGATTGAGAAATATGACCAGCGAGATGTAGCAAAAATATTTCAGCTGCAAACATGTAGGATTCATTTGATCAAAAGCTGATTTTTAAATCTCTGTTTGCTTTAAAACCTGAAGTGAGGTTTGGCAGGCTGCCAAAGTTTCACTCCAACACGTTATCGGTAGTGTTCCGTTTCGATGGCAGTAGGTTAACACACCAGTGCTCTATTTCCGTGACACTGATCGTATATTATAGACAGTCCAACAACCTGCTGTCGGAATACAATGCCAGACCGTGACAAATTACTAACCATGCCCCTCTCAACCCCTGTGACCACACAGGTAATCAAAGGTCTTTATAAAAACCATAGAACCCTTTATGGCATGGCTATAATTTCATACTTAGGCACTCAAAGAAAAACATTTCACTGAACAAGGTTGGCATGTCGCTAATATGCGCATTGCATGTTTATGGGATGAAGTCACAACAAAGGTTTCATTGAACCCAAGCAACCAGTCCAGGGTCAACCAGCAATCAGCTCTACACTAGTATTTATAAATAGCACTTGAGATGTGTACAAAAAAAAAACAGGGTTCGTTGAGGTTCATGTGTTAGGGTGCTGCAGTGGTGGCACTGGTGCAGTATCTTCCCTCTCCCCCCTCCAAAAAAGTAAGCACGTGCAAGGAACGTTCACGCTCACGTTGTGCAACGCATCCGCTTGCTTGACTTGCGGGTTCTAAATTTACGTGTGTACGTCCATCTTACCTTGTTTCCGCACTGGCATCACGTCCCGCACGACGACAACAAGTGACACTCTCAGTTGGACAACCGCGAACGCGTCCGGTTCAATGTGGGCCAACTGCGGAACAACGATGGCGCACAACTTCAACCTAAAAACACGATCACCAACAATACCACCGCGAACAACAAACGCGAACTGAAATGAACTTGAAATGACAATATGTGAGATATGATTGGAACCGTGAGCGTGGTGGGTGACCGGTGACACTTGGTATCTTTCGCCCGACGCACGACCGACTTTTTTGGTGCATTCGACGTGTGCATGCGACGCGTATTGCTCCTATGCACTGATACACGCGCGCGGCACTCGAGCGTCGCGACGCTGCCTGTGTACACACACAAACGCCCGGCGTGAGGAAGATGGTCAATATGGCGCTCGTGCCGATTGGTCGACGCTGTGTGCTCGCACCGTGGACGTCATCCGATGGGGTGGTTTTCGGGGTGCTGCGCCACGGCGCGGTACTATCACGCGGTTCCATCTGCCAACGGCGGGGGAGGATGCAATGCGGCGTCCCGACGCTCAGCGTCGCTCTTTACCACAGCATATATAGATTTCTATAAGACAACGTAAAAATACATTTTTTTTATTTTTAACAAAATACATTTTTATTTTGATAGATTTTTTGTTCCCTACTGGCAAGGACAATTATTTGACACACCATGGATAGACCTAAAATAAATAAGTAACATTTACATATTATACGTTATCAGATGTTAACTGAACAGGACACGATAACTCATAATCGATATTAATGTTGTGTTTAATCAAATTTTGGTAAACCAAATTCCTCCGGATGGAACTGTTCCAAACTTTGGAGCACTAAAGTAGCGCCTTCTTTTAATTCATCGCTGATTTCGTCGGATGGTACCATCACAACCTGCATACCAGCAGCAACAGCTGCTTTTACACCATTCGGAGCATCTTCAAACACCAAACACTAAAATATGGATTCAAAAATTATTATACCCTAACTATAAATAACAATAATCATACTTTTGAAGGATTTGGAGGATCTGGAAATCTCTGGGCGCATACCAAGAAGATATCCGGATTGGGTTTACCCTTTTTCACTTCAGCGTCACTACTACCCATGACTTTATGGTGAAACAAATTAAACAACTCCGCTGAACTTTGAAGTTTGATGTCCGTAGCCTCTTTGCTTCCAGATGTCGCCATGGCGAAAGGAATTTTGTGTTTTGCAAGATGTCTGATCAACTTTTCAGCTCCTAAAGTCATTGTTCAATCCTACTATTCAACATTTGGTAAAAAATATTAGTACCAGGTAACAGTGGAGGATTATGGAGCTCCGCCTCAACTCCTTTACGCATCCTCAGGAAAAACTCTTCTGGAGTCAATGGTAATTCCATAAGTTCTACAGCCAATTGACTAGTCATCATTTCCGGCGTGCCCAGTATTCTTGCACGCACTTCCTTCGTGTATTTCTTTCCATATTGACCAGCAATGTCACCGATGATTTTCTCATAGAATGTTTCCGAGTCTAAAACAAGTATATTTTCATCTGGGCGCTCAAAATATTCCACGCACAGTGCATGTGGTTGAGAGTGTTTCACATACCTATTAATAGTCCGTCGAGATCGAAGAGGACGTGGGTGACCGCTGCGTACGTACCAGGCATAGTTCTGACTTCTTGTTGTGACCCAATTTCGAATTACACTGAGACGGAAAGTTTGCCGGCGTGCGGGTTTGAAATAGACGCGCCTTTCCGCGAATGATGTAACACTAGACGGGAGTTTATCACGCGGCCTTCACTGCTCTGGCACGAGGCAGCATGAACTTCAATTTAGCTATTTGTGACGTTTGGCTGGCTGGTAGCAATATTAGGAAAGTAATAACACCGGATCAACGTGCAAAATAATAAATAATATGTTTACATTTGATAAGGCTTTGCGTCATAAATTATTCCTAAACCCGTAGAAATTAAACAACTAAGCAGACGCAAAATATATGGAAATAAAACACGCTGCACATTGGTGACGACTGCGTGATAACTTTTACGGGAAAAGATCAATAAACTTTCACTAAATAAACCTAGTGACTTGTAGATGTCGCAAAATGTTTATTTTGAAGTCTGTGGTGTTATATTTGTTTGCAATTCACTGTCTTTGACAATGATTTAAATATTGCTTTTGAGCTAAACCACTAAAAAAAACCAAAGCAGGATTTTTTTGCGGGAATTTGCAACTGAACATTTGATCTAACCTCATTTAATGCCTCTTAACAAAACGCAAGATAAGTTAGGATTGCAAGAAGAGACATTTTGCTTGGTTTTGTTGAAAATTCTTTAGCCTTTTATTCCGCATACAAAAATGGTTGGTAAAAGTAGTAAATGATTCAGAATAATCCAAGATGTATACCAAACCTACTACAAATATCCTAGATCCTAGCTACACACATAACAAATCCACCTCTTCAACAAAGATTTCACTTTATTTCATGGCCCTTCAAAATTTAAAGCTTATCCATAAAATGAGGTAGTCCCGTTGCGTTACGACGCTTTGTCAGAATCTCACATCCATGGTCGGTGACGAGAAGCGTTTGTTCAAACTGCGCTGACCATTGACCGTCAGCAGTAACCGCCGTCCATTTATCCGGCCAAGATTCATCCTTCCACGTGCCCATTGATATCATCGGCTCAATTGTAAATGAATGACCAGCTTTCATTACACCAATCGCGCGATTTTCTTCATAAAAATAACAAATTATTTGATTTACTTGCAAATTTTCGAATATTTTATTACTTACTAGCATAATGTGGAACATTCGGCGCTGTGTGAAAAAGTCTGTGAATTCCATGCCCACAATAACTCCTCACAACTGAATAACCGTGAGCCTGTGCGTGTTTCTGGATGACATTACCAATCTCGCGATATTTCTCGCCGGGTTTTACAATATCAATCGCTTTCATCAGACACTCATGAGTGACACGCACGAGATCTTTGTGTTTTTGTTCGACGTTACCGACAAAGAATGTCTCATTCAGATCTCCGTGAAAACCACGGTGATACACAGTAATATCCACATTGCATAGATCTCCATCTTGCAATGGTCTCATATCTGGTATTCCATGACAAATCACCTTCAAATATTTATATAAACCTATTCAAAAGTATATCTAATTCATTTATACTTACTTCATTGACAGATGTACAACATGATTTCGGAAATTCGTAATAATTTAAAGGAGATGGATAACACTCCTTTTCAATACAAGCTTCATGTACAGCTCTGTCAATTTCATCTGTTGTAACACCCACATCACACACACTTGCAGCAACATCCAGTACTTCTCTGCCTAATTTACAAGCAACTTTCATTCCTGGAAAGTTTTCTTTATAATAGAGGAATTATTAATGTTGAGAATAGGCAAACCTTCAATTTCTTCATCATCAAGCACCTTAATTTGACTAGAACCTTTCACAGCCTGTTCAGATAAAGGATAACCACTTGGATGGTCAGCATAATCAGGCCTCATGATGCCTGAAGGCACTGTTCGCTTGTCAGACATTGGATAAGGTCTAAGCTTTCCAGTATATGTAAATGATGGCCATGGATTGAAACCACCGTCTTCCTTTTTGCCCCCATCAATGCCTTCACCCTCTAAAAGACAATGTTATTAAATGTTAATTTAGTATTCTATTGTATTAATTACGAGCGTAATAAGTAAAATAATCGCGTATAAATTTAAAAATTGTATTTGTGACTGACATTGTTACTAGGTTATCAAACAAAACCTATCACTTACTAGCTAATGAATGAATGACTTTGTGAGTGCGCCAGTTTGCCTTGAAGCATTCCTGCGAACAGAAGAACGAGCCCTGAATGCCCAGTTTCATGCACGTTGGGCACTGCAGTTTGGCCTCTTTGCCGCAGTCCGACGTCGCACATGTTCCCAACGATGCCATCTTTAACCAAACAGGGCATACAGTTTCAGTCAGCCGGATCAAGTCGGATGGATATAACGGGCGTCGCGCTGAGCGAACGGTAAATGTATTTGTGGAATGTAAGAAGAGGTAGAGTTAGTGGGGGTGCTGCTATTCCTGCTGCGGCAGTGTAGCCAACATACAAAAAATAAACATAAACCTAGCAAAAAGTTACTAGTTTTAAATTCAACAGAATAGCCAACCACACGAAAAGCGCATTTCATCACTTTTTTTGTGGCGGTTGATCATTTCCAACGAATTTCCGCAATAAAACGACCAAAAGACGCCATTATTGGTGCAGTGTATTCCTCATTCAACAAAAAGGTATGTTTTAAGGCAAGTTTTATTGATTAATGTAACAAAAATATGACATATTCGCAATACAATGCAAAGAATTATCTTGGGCACATAGCATGCCTTCCTCCATCAACTGGAATGGAAGCACCAGTAATAAAGCTTGAATCACTGCTTGCCAAAAAGACAATAGTGTTAGCAACTTCATCAGCCTGTCCAGGCCTGCCCATTGCATGTGTTTCCTTGGTTCTCTGCAGAAAAGCTTTATATTGCTCTTCATTCATACCACCCCTTGTGTGTAGATTTGTAACAGTCACTCCTGGATTAACCGAGTTGACTCTTACGTTTTTCGTGGCAAGTTCAAGTGCGACACACCTGGTAAATTGATCTACTGCAGCCTTTGACATGCAGTAGGCTAAAACGCCGGGAAAAGCGCGGATTCCATTCACGCTCGAAACGTTTACGACACTGCCTTGTGTCTTAATTAAATGCGGAACGGCCAAATGAGTCATTTGATAAATGCATCTGACGTTAACGTTCATCATTCGATCATATTGCTCCAAATTTGTGTTCTCTATCGAGCCGGTTTCAAGAACACCGGCGTTATTAACCAGCACATCGAGTTTACCATAGTGTTTGATGATGGAGTCCATGATGTTCTTGACATCGGTTTCTTTTGTAAGTTCACCAGTGACCACGTAGGGTTTGGGAGCGCCGGCGGATTCACATTCTGAGGAAACTTTGTTAAGATTATCGAGGTTGCGACCGGTGAGAGCGAGACTTGCGCCGAGTTTAGCGAATTGTTTTGCTGCAGCAGCACCAATGCCGGAACTGGCACCTGTTATAAGCACAACTTTACCGGCGAAGTTCATGTTTGCTAAACTATTTTAAAGTTACGTAACACAGATCAAGTTGAACACGAACAGCAGGAGTGAAACGAATCACTGCAAGTCAAAAACAAGTTAGGCTTAGTAACTTTTATCAGCTGTTTAGCATGAGCGCATGCGCCAATTCAATGCTGCAGGATTTAAAAACCGCTCATCATTTTTGTTCAAAATATTTATTTCAAGTTTTAAACAGCAGCACATAATGATTAACATGATATGTATTTATCTAGGACAAAGCGCATGTTTTCCACCATCAACAGGAAGCGTCGCTGCGGTTATGAACGACGCATTATCACTGGCAAGGAACAAAATACTTTTTGCAACTTCCTCTACATTTCCTGCTCTCCCCAAAGGTTGTGTAGTCTTACACCTCTCAACAAATTCATCATATTGCTGATTATCCATCCCTGCTCTCTTATGAAGATTGGTGACCACCACTCCAGGATTCACAGAATTCACTCTCACTCCTTTGCTAGCTAATTCCAAGGCAATGCATCTTGTGAACTGATCAAGTGCTGCTTTTGACATGCAGTAAGCAAGAACATTTGGGAATGCTCTCAAGCCCACTACACTGGAGACATTCACAATGTTTCCTTTGGATTTAATCAAATGAGGAACAGCTAGATTTGTGAGTTGATACACTGCTCTCACATTAACATTCATCACCCTATCCAGCTGATCCAAGGAGGTTGTTTCAATGCTGCCATTCTCCAGGACGCCGGCATTGTTGACCAGGACATCGATTTTATTGAATTTCTTAATTGTTTCATCAATAATTCCTGCTACGAATTGTTCATCACACAAGTCACCAACGAGCACAAGCGGAATGGAATCTTTGTTTGCTTTGAGGCAATCGGCGGCGAGTGATTTGAGATTTTCTTCGTTTCGTCCGGTAAGTACAAGGTTCGCGGAGAGGGTGGCAAATTGTCGAGCTGTTTCAGCTCCGATGCCGGAGCTAGCACCGGTGACAACCACGACTTTATTCTTAAAATCCATATTTGGTTGGTATACTCGGTAACACTACGTATATTGGAAGGTTAGAAATCGAACAGGTTGGAACTGCTGCCAGCAGTGTTATTCAGTCACGTGAACTACAGCTGGCAACGCAGACAACGCAATATTTAATTGGCGTTTGGATCTAAGCTCTAAGTGGAGTTTTTGGGAAATTAACATATTTGTTTACAAATTTAGCGCAAATATATTCCTTTCCTATCTCAACATTTTTCGTGACCCTACCTAACCTAAATTGAATAACCTAAGAAACAATAATTGGCTTTGTCAATCATAGGCCATATGGTTTAGTCAATCATAAATCAAAAGGTTATTGATAAAAAAAATTATGAACATTCAGTGATTCAGAATTATTTTATTATTTATCGTGGACATGCTGCTTGTTTACCACCATCTATAGGCAATGTTGCTGCAGTGATGAACGACGATTGTTCACTTGCCAAAAACAATATACTTTTCGCCACCTCATCGACAGTTCCTGGCCTACCTAAAGGATGATTACCCTTGCTTCTTTCCAACAAAGCTTCATAGTCCTTTCCATCAATACCCGCACGTTTGTGAAGGTTACTAACAATGACTCCTGGGTTTACCGCATTAACTCTCACATTCTTTGAAGCAAGCTCCAAAGCTACACATCTCGTGAACTGATCAATAGCTGCCTTGTTCATACAATAGGACAACACACCAGGGAAAGCTCTCAACCCAACAAGACTTGAAACATTTACAATTGCTCCTTGCGTTTTGATCAGATGTGGTACAGCCAGGTGTGTGAGATGGTACACCGAACGAACATTAACGTTCATCATTCGATCGAATTGATCCATATTCGTAGTCTCGATGCTTCCTATTTCTAAGATTCCAGCGTTGTTAACCAGAACATCAAGTTTCCCAAAGTGTTTAATAGTTTCGGAGATAATCGAGTTTACAAACGCTTTGTTTGTTACATCACCACGCATAAGAATGACATCAGGACTTCCGTTGGCTTTACATGCTTGGAAAACATCTTCCAGGCCTTGTGGGTTTCTCCCAGTAAGTGCCAACTTGGCATTATGTTTAGCAAAGTGTTTTGCTGTTTCTGCACCAATACCAGATGTTGCGCCGGTTATTAGAACGACTTTTTCGGAGAAATCCATGTTTTGATCTTGAACCAACTGACTTGAGCTATTAAAGCGAACTGATAACATTGAACTTTTGCTGATACATTTATTGGAATTATAGTTACATAATTGGAATTTCATAAACATTGAGCCAAAATAAAATGAAAGCAGGAATCATCAAGTGGACAAAGTTCACTGGAGAAAACAAACAAACTTTCTATTAATTATAAATTTATTAATTTTATAGTACAATATAAAATTTCTGCTGGTGATCTACCAACGGATAGATAATTATTTTACAACTTATATTTACCGAATTATTAAAACCACGCGCGACTACAGCTACGCAATCTACAGCATCAACAAATTTCTAACAAGTTTAATCATCCTTGGAGCCGGAAGCAAAGATGATTTTGAGCAATCTGACGACGGGCGCCTCGAAAAACATTGAAATCAAAAAGGCTACCATAAAAGACACTACGCTGTTACCCATAAATAACACTAACTGCAATTAAAACATAATAATTAAAGAGAAAATTAAATTAAACAAATTGATACTTACCACATTTAATTGGAAGAGATGAATGTTTCCGTCCATCAGCAAACTGGTGTAAACCATAATCACAGGATGGATCAAATACGCACAGTATGCAAGTCTACTCAGCGGAAGGAAACCCCTAAACGACAGGAGAGTATCCACAGGACCTCCAAATCCATGGCAGCATGCGATTACGATCCACGAAAGTGATAGACCCCAACCGGTATGGCTGAATGTTGCCTGAAGCAGTACAAATTAATACAATTTTAGTAAAAGTCCTTTTAAAAATTATAATTCATAAATAATTTACGTAGAAGGCTGAAGTAGGCACGACCAAACCAGTCCTTCCTATACCATACACAACGCTTGCAAGGCAACTCAAACTCAACGTCCATCCGATGAGTATAGCCCATCCGGGTAACTTAATTTTCTCCTGTCGTTGAAACATGAACCACCCTGTGGCCATTCCGATCAAGTACGGTCCTATCCGCAACCATGGCTTGTCGTACAACTGATCAAATAACGCAAAAGGCTCCTCTACTCTCGCTACATAATTATACTTCATTGAGATGATGAACGTTGTCACCCATGAAGTGAAGATAAACGCAAACATGGCTATGCCGACCGCTTTGAGGCATCTATTATTGCGCACGGCGATTATTAAAAATATTGTGGCTAGGACGTAGAATTGGGTGTCGTTGGCGATGTACCACGACCATAACATACAGAATTCATGCTGGGGATAGAAATTATTGATGTAGAGCGCATTGCGCCACCAGAAGAGATCACAAGTGATGTGATCAATCATCGCTGGGGAGAATACACTGTGATTCTGTGTGTATCTGGCGATTAGTTCATTCACGCCTATAACGAATAGATAAGCTGGTGTCAGACGCAGCCATCTGTAGACAATCATCATCAGAAACTTTGATGTTGAGATTTGGGCGATCTGAAGAGGATTTTTTATTTTTTCACGGCTTTCCTTCGCTTTAGATTTAGCTGCACTTCGGAAATATGTTATGGTAACCAAGAGACCACTGAAAGGAAACCAAAGTTAAATAAAAACAAATTATTTTGGTTAAACTGACCTGATAAAGAAAAATGTGTCAACTGAAAAGTTGCATTTGAAATTGTTTGATACGCAAACGATCTTTCTGTGATAGTTCGCATTGTTTTGTTGTCTGCAATTGAAAACACTTCCAGATAAGTGTGCACTAGAATAATCCACGTGATGGAAAAAAATCTGAGTCCATGAATGCATCGTATTGAGTCCTTGGGTAAACGATCCACCGCTAGAATTTTTTGCCCATTTGTGTAAGCAGCGAAGGATAACAAAAACGACAATGGTTTTGCTGAAATTACAATAATTAGCTGTTATGTTGCAATATGCACTTGATGAATTGACGACGCGCACCATTGAATTGTTTATGTTGTGCTAATTGCTTCTTCTTCAGCTCCTCGTTAGACGCGTTATTATTATTACGTGAAATTTCCAAATCTGGCTGCACCTTCGTGTGCTCGTGCGTGCGTTTCAAGTAGAGTTCCACAACGGTTGCAATTAGAATTAATATGAAAATTGCAACCGTTACACCTCTGAAATACAGACGAAGACAAAAAGCGATCGTTAACTTCTTTTCAATTATTAATTACAAGTTGAGCAACAAATAATAGATATTAGCCAAACACAATAATAACTATAGCTATATTATACTGTGGTTAAGTGTTGAGGATCTAGGACAATCTTTCAACTGGCCTATTGCTATTATGACTAATTTTCGCAATTTGCAACGACTAACGATTAAAATAATAATAATAAATGCCCATATATGAAATGCATACGAAAATGTCGCAATTCGTGACGGTGATAATTTTCTGAAAACTTTTGCAAAACAATTGCATAATAGAGCAACTTGGTCGTTTTTTACGCCAATTTGACTTTGTGATTCTGATAGAACACGTGAGTTATCTCGTTGGCAAGAAAGGAAAAGTAATACACTTTCCGTTGAATTCGGGTCAGATGCAGTATGCATCTAACACGCATTGGCTATTACATAAACTATCGTGAGGAAGCTCGAGGAACTTGGCAGTATTGCACGTGCAGATTTCGCGACGTCTAATTGCGATAATTGTGGAATGCGCGCGCGGTCCGATCAAAACGAAGAAATCGCACCGATTGCGCAAAAATCGCAGAAACACACGAAAGATACGCCGCGGAAACTTTCATTGGATTTTGCATTTTCGAATTGGAAAGTACCGAGCGCGCACATGCAGCATTCATTCAAACGCACTATACGAATGTCGATTTTTAATTATTTCTATCTTGCGCAATGCAATGCAATCCAGGCGCAGCACACGCGCTGCAAATTTTAGATAATGTTGGATCAAAACAACAGCTTGTGTAATCGAATAACTAAGGTGTCTACACACCCGACAATGTGAAACTTCTTGTCGTCCATGAGGCGATAGCTTCCGGGAACTGGGCGCACATCGACGACGACCAAGGATTCCGCTTGAGACTTTTCTTGCAGCAGGACAGATTTTAAATCTGCTGGGCTGCACGCCGCAGGCAGGCATTGTCCGATTATGATCTGCCGAGTCTACAAATTTCATAATCAACATTCAGTTTCAGTTGGTTTTTGAGCTCTGTGTCGATGTTGTACTCGTAAATGTAATCAAATTAGTCACACTTACGACTGGCGTGTAATCACCGTTGATATTAATGCGAATCTTGACGGCGTAGAAATGAACCGGAAACGGCGGCGTCACGCGGTTCGTCTCTGGATTGGCGAGCTCGACACATAAGGAGTGAGATCCCAGCCAGAAGTCGTTGCCGTAGAAGAAGTTCGTTGTGTAACGACCAGAAGCATCGTACACTGCCGAACAACAAACGCGTTAATTCAATTACCGTGCATTCAATTAAGTTATAGCTTTAAAAAATCTATTGAGAATTGTTACATCCGCAAAACCGGAAACAATTATTTGCACCTAAGATTGATATTAACAATGAACGTACTTTTGATCGCCCAGGACGAGTCATTTTTCAACGCTCGTAAATAGCTTTCCATTTGGAATTTGCATTTGACATCGGAGATTCTTCCAAGTTGCGAATTCCAATGATGATGACTATAGAGCTCTCGCAACCATTGCATGTTTGGCAGTTTATCCTCCAATTTAGCGACGGTTTCCAGCGTTTCCGGTGCTGGGAACTGTATTCCATTCGATAAATACGACAAATCTGATGAATTGTATGATATAAAACGCGGAGTCGTTGACGTGGTCGCACTTATCACATAAACATTCAACAAAAAGACACAGAATTTTAAAATGGCCGCCATTTTTAATTGCACTGTGTGATTTAGAACTTTTTTATTAAATTATACACAAATTGAAAAAAAAAATGTACAAATGTTGTAAACTTTTCCAGTTATGTTTTATCCATCTTCAATTTATGTGAGCTATACGCGATCGTTGAATAATAATCGACTGCACTCGCCGAAGACGCGATCGCGAATGATTCTTCCTGTTTCTTTGCGCGGCGATCTATCGCAAATGAAATTGTTATGCCGAAAAGTTATCGAATGTTACGTGCAGCAGGATAAGAACAAGCGCGTCTGGGGATCGACAATGGAAGTGCGCGTTGAGTCTGATCGCGGATTCGAACCAGTCGCATTTCCACGCCGAAGTTATCGCAGCGACTTTCGATTTCTTGGCGATTTCTTGGCGCTTGCCATAGCGACCTGGATAAATTCAGGCGGATTGCATTCGACTCACCCAGATGCATTTCATTCGCGATTCTCTCTCGCATTTTCTCACGCGAACATGTAAATGCTCTAATGGCTAACAAATGTTATACAAGTTGGGAAAATGTTCCACATTACTCGTACAAATTGTTCAAATATTTGCATGGCATATAAGTGCTTCAACAAAAATTACTTTGGTGACAGAAAGCGTAATAGTTTCCTGTTTGTGATTTACTTAACACTTGCGTTTTTCTTGTGGGTTTGTTGGTGTACTCGTATTATTGCGTTGACCTGGTCAGTCACACCGAGAAACATCAAAGTGCGCTCAATGCAACTCTTTACTACATTATTACCTGATTAATAGTATATAGTCACGGTTACCTTACGCAGAAAAAGAAATAACAGCGTAATTATTACATATGATCAAAGTAATAATTAACACTTAATAAAATACTGAAAAAAATCTGTGTAAGATTTTTTTTTTAATTATTAAGTAATATTTTCTTGTCACGAGAAAAGTCTGTGCTTTGACTATAGATTCAATCTTTGCGTAATGCACCAAAGAGAATTAAAACCATGTAATACTATTTTCCTACTTTGATCCATTGGCGTTTATGGCATTTACGTATTAAACTTTCCATTCATCCAAATTTTATGCATATTTTTCATTTTGTTGGAATATATGCAACTTAAAATTATAATATAGTATTTTTAAACAATTAAATGTAAGTAACGATCATTATTTGCATTGTGCAAGACAATTTACCTTTTAGGTCAGCAGTACTTGAACGCATAAGGCTCGTGTTAGTCTACAATCAAATTAAATGCTAAATAATGACAAGTCATGTTGGGTTAAGACATAATCTTAATGCAAATAAAATAGAATTGCAAGTGCAACGCAAACGCAATCAGGTCGAGCAAGTCAAAACAGAGAGCGCAAAGTAATTACTGCAATAACATAAATTGATAGATACAGGTTTGAATTTGATTGGTTTTCTTTTGTTAACTTTATCAAATTACCACAATTCCCAAATAGAAATGCAAATAAAACAATTAAAACCTAAAATAAGAATTACAATGGTCGCGAAAACAAATAGAAAGTGATTATTGCTCACATAGAATAAATTTGTCATCTTACATAAGTTCATAGAGCATCCTAAACGCTCGTCTCAGGATCTTCGGCAAACAATAAAAAAAAGCTTTGCATTATTACAGATTTATTGAAGCAAATTTAATTAAATATTACGAAACATGTAAACTATCTTCTCCACGGTGCTACTTAACTAATTACCGGTTCATAAACTTTTTGTGAACAAAATAAACGATGGCACTTTTGTGAAAGAAAGCGATACTAACACAAATTGATATTTTTCCTTCTGTAATGATTTTAAAGTTTTATGAGTAATTTCGTAATTGTTCTACACTATATGTTCATGTACATAAGCTACATGAGCATTTAATAAGAAAATTTATTTACTATTCCAGCTTCTATACCGAGTACTGAGCGCGCTCGTTCGCGCCGACAACTTTCTCTCCCTAACTAGTCGCACTTTTTTACTCTTTACCTCAATGCACAAATGCACACACTCGCAGAGTGCATGTCGATGCAGAAAATGCAATGAGACAAACTGCAAACAACGTTCATGTAACAACTTAGATGTAATTCGACTTGCAGTGTCCAAGTGACTTATCGTCAATTCAAACCACATAATTGAAAGCTAGGCTGTATGTTTGTCATGCGTGCATCAATAGTTTAACAGCTTATATAAAAATCTTTACATGTTGATGTTCGGTATATAATTTTTCATTGAGGTATATCAGAGAAAGAAATAGGATGATATGAGTGTGAAATGAAGGAACTATTTTATTATAATACAATCTGCATGATGCAATCATCATTGAACCGTTCGAGTATACTGGTTCTGATTGTTATGCAATTGTAATAATAAGCCATAATATATTAAGAAGTTATGAATATAAGCGTGGTAATTTATAAACAATTAAACATCTGATGAATTACTACAAAGTTATATACGAATTTCATAAGTATTTAAGTTGTTTGGAAGCTATTTGGTAATGAAACTGTTTTTGAAGAATCTTCCTGCATTAAAATTTAAATGTTATAAGCATTGTAGTTTAAGAAAATATTTACAGCACTTTACCCAACTGCATAACTAAAAATTCCCTTCTTTACAGTTGGCAGCGCCGTCTACGTATGTATGTATCATCAGGAATTCCCGCAGCGCCGAGCCACACAGTTTCAGGTTCTGTCAATGCGGTGTTCGCCGAATTGTAGCGTGTTCAACTTGGAACAATATTGCATCAGATTCAATACGCGACTAGATTAACGTGAAAAACATCAACATGTCAGGAGACGCTGAGCGTATGTTACTTTTAAACTTAAATAAAATGTTTTATTTTATATTTTACGTTTATTAATTGTATATTACAGCGTTATACACATCAGAAAAGAATGGTTCTGATGAAAATGGAGCAGGAACAGAGGATAAACCATTCAAAACCATTCTGCAGGCTATGCGAAAAGCCGGCAAGGAGCCATTTCCAATCATATATGTAGATGGTAAAGAAGAGGGTGTGAAGTATGATGTTGCAGCCAAGTCTCAGTTAAAGAAGATTACCAAAATTTGGGCTCGAGAGAACTACAAATCAGAAAACAAGCAGAAAAAGGTAGAAGATGATGAGGAGAAAAGGAAGCAAAACTTGGAAGAAGCAAAGAAGATTGTCATCAAGGAAGATCCTAGTCTACCTGCAGCCACCAGAATCAGAATTTTTGAAGGTGGTTTCAGATTTATTTTTGTTATTAAAGTTTGGGTAATAATATTGTATATGAATTGTTGGCAGGTGCAAAATATCGCGACCAGCGCATTAAAATCTATGGGTGGGTGCATCGTCTACGTCGGCAAGGAAAAAACTTGATGTTTATAACATTGAGAGATGGCACTGCTTTTCTTCAATGTGTTCTTAATGATACACTGTGTCATACATACAATGCTGTTGTACTATCTACAGAATCTTCAGTTTTGCTGTATGGTGTTCTGAAGGCTGTGCCAGAAGGTAAAAGTGTAAGTATTTTGGATGAAGTTGATGAGCAGGAACTTAATTTTAAGTTGATTTAATATAGGCTCCTGGTGGTCATGAATTACAAGTTGATTACTGGGAACTGATTGGCTCAGCTCCTCCCGGAGGAGCTGATACCATTCTCAACGAAGATGCGCTTCCTGAAGTTCAAGCTGAAAACCGCCATATTATGATTCGAGGTGAAAACACATCTAAGGTATTGCGTATGCGCTCATTGTTGATGCAAACATTCCGTGATCATTATTTGGCGCGTGGTTACTGCGAGGTTACTCCACCATCAATTGTGCAGACTCAGTGTGAAGGCGGCTCAACGCTATTTAAGATGGACTACTTCGGCGAAGAGGCTTACTTGACTCAGTCGTCACAGTTGTACTTGGAGACATGCCTAGCTTCTATGGGAGACGTTTTCTGTATCGCTGAGAGTTTCCGCGCTGAGCAGAGTCGTACCAGACGTCATTTAGCTGAGTATACCCATGTGGAAGCCGAGTGTCCGTTTATTGACTTCGAAGACCTCCTCAATCGCCTGGAAGATCTCATCTGCGATGTGGTCGACCGCGTGCTCAAGTCGCCTCTTGGTTCAATCGTGTACGAATTGAACCCGGACTTCAAGCCACCCGAGAGGCCCTTCTTGCGAATGAACTACACCGACGCATTGGTGTACCTTAAAGAAAACAACATTACCAAAGAAGATGGTTCATTCTACGAATTTGGTGAGGATATTCCAGAAATGCCCGAGCGTATGATGACTGATAAAATCGGAAAGCCGATAATGTTATGTCGTTTCCCGGCTGAAATCAAGTCATTCTATATGCCTAGATGTCCGGAAGATAATCGTCTTACTGAAAGTGTTGATGTTCTCTTACCGAACGTGGGCGAAATTGTTGGTGGTTCCATGAGGATCTGGCAGCTGGATGAGCTTCTGGAAGGTTATAAAAGGGAAGGTATTGACCCGTCACCGTACTGCTGGTACACTGATCAACGAAAATACGGATCGTGTCCGCATGGCGGGTATGGGCTTGGTTTGGAGCGTTTTATTTGCTGGTTATTGAACCGCTATCATATTCGCGAAGTTTGCTTGTATCCAAGGTACTTGAACCATTGCAAACCCTAAATATTGAGGTAATTTTGAGAAAAAATATTGAATACAACTTTTAATTTTGAATAAAATAAGCTGCATTTTCCGTCTTGATTTTTGGTTCTTACAATTTGTATGTTATGTTCATTTGTCGAGGAGTTTCACAAAAATGTATAATGCTATTATTTCGTGTTTAGTCTCATATAAGGAAGACACTCTAGCGTCATCTAGTTTTGGTTTATTACATTTTTAAATAAAAATGCTATTAATTTAGATCGTGTGGTACATGCACACCATTCCTGAACGAGTGACACACAGACACGGGTGCCCCACCATTTACTTTCTGTACACTCACTGACTTAGACAAAGATTTTAACAGATACATATTCACGCGACACTTTACGAAACACTTTATATTCTTGCGAGGTATTGCAAAGAATTCATAGAGGGCGCATGAATACACTTTGTTTACTAAAAATAGTGCATCGATTGAAGGTCGCGCATGCATTACTTTTGTATTTCTTGCGGCGTGTCGTGTTGTTAGATAAATACGGAAAACTACGTTGTGTTTAATTAATCTTTGCCAAAATCTCTGTTAATAGATGTGTCCGGCGTTTTGCTTATGATTAATCGCGTGTGGAACTTTTCTAAAAAGTGAATTTATTGTGTTTTCAGTGTTAAGTCACGGATTTGGGCGTGAGTGCTTTGCCGTCGGATGGACTTGTTCAAATCAGTTTTGCATTCAGCAGAAGTTCTCGGGCTAATGTGCAACCAGGTAATTAATATTATAGAAATTATAGCGATTTGCAAAGTCATCTTATAAATAATTTAACGAAGATTATCAATCATCAATCCGTTCATCTCTATCGCTTTTAGTTTGCTACATAATCACAACCGAAGATTTGAGTAGAATAATGCAAAGACTTCTTTGTGGAGTAGGAATGTAGTTTGATTATTGTAAATTCATTTTTTCCAACATGTGTTACCAGTGGCGGATTATGCTTCAGTGGGGCCCTAGGCGCAAATCAAGTTTGGGGCCCCTAAATCCGAAAATTTTCAAAAACGGTTATTAGTCCAGTAAAATTAATAGTTTTAGCGTACGGGCGCCGCAAAGTCTACTTCAACATTCGTTTGTGATTTTAGGCCATTGCTTAATGTTGCATACATTTCATGTGGATCTCTAATATTTTCTTCTTGTATGTATTTTAGAAAATGAGTTAACTCATCAGTGAAATATTCTGGCTCAATATCTTTTTCATACTTAGACAATAATCGCTCTACACAATTATTAGTCTCATCACGGCTTAATTTTAAATCAAAGAAAATTTTAAAATCGTTAAGAACATTGATATAGACATCGCCCCTTCGAGTAATTTCTGATGTTAATACATCACATACAATATAAAAAATGTTGATAATAAAAAAATTTCTTGACGAAAATGCTGTATCATTTTTGTTCGTTTCATCATATTTGCGTTTTCTTTGTCTCATTTAGCCTCCTCTTCAACAGTTTCGAAATTATTTCTGACCTCTGTTATAAATTCGTTTAATGATTTTAATAAACTAACACTATTAAGAATATTTACTTTGGTTCCTGTAAGTATTTGCTGGTAATTTCGATTCTCTGTAGGAGTTTGTTCCAGAAAATTGTTAACAATGCCGTCTCAAATTGATCGAACTCTTTTGATAATTTTTTTGCTTCTAATTTTGAAATTGGTTTTTCATTTTTTTTCATTGATAATTGAGTCTTAGGGCTAAAACAGCGTCAGCTCTTGCGGACCATCGTGTATCAATTATTCTCTTGATACTTTTAGAATTCTTATCCTTCATGCATTCAGTTAAAATATTCCACCGTCTTGTAGATGCAGCAAAGAAAGTTATATATTTTGCAAAAACATAAAATACTGTAATGCTCCAGAACAAGATTCCGCTGCAGTATGCCCAGCCAAATTTAAAGAATGACTTCCACATGGTATGAATGCAGCTGATTTGGAATGTTGTTTTATGCGTGCCTGTAATCCACTGTACTTGCCAGACATGTTAGCAGCGTTATCATAAGATTGGCCCCTACAGTTTGTGATATCTAAGCCATAGTCATGTAACTTTCTAAGTACAATTTCTTCTAACGACTCACTGACCACTCTCTGTTTTTTTTTTAATCCAACTACCACCCCAAAAATCTAGATAAAAATTGTAGGAGGATAAACGTCGGTACAACGTGTTCCGCAGATGTGAAAAAATGATAGAAAGACGAAATAATTAATATTCAAAAAAAGAGAGTTACCCGCTATTTTACAACCTCAATGGAATATTCCTCAACTCATCTCCTCCACAGATGTTCGAAATTTAAAAAATTGGCAATATACTACTCGCATTATAGCTACAACTTTCTAACGCAATATTCAAGAAAAGGTCACAAAAATTCGTGGCAGAAAACATCCAAATTTTATTTTAAACAGTTTGCCATAAAGAAATAAAATCGGAGATAAAAAGTTTTAGGTCAGCTATATATCCGTGACGGTTGCTTTGCGAACACGTGTGAAATGCCGTTTTGGGCGCCAAGTGAAAACCAATACGCTATTCATAAAGGCTGAGGTCAAAACCAACTGATGAAGTATTTGTGGAATTACTATGTCTATATGGGACATATAAGTGCCAGGGGCCCCTCAGGCAGCCGGGGCCCCCCAAGCAGCCGGGGCCCTAGGCGCGCGCCTAGTGCGCCTAGGCCGTAATCCGCCACTGTGTGTTACGACATAAATACAATGGTATCGTTCCAAATTATTATTATATTCCAGTTTAAATTTTAGTATTTTGTTCAATACCACGGGTTTATAGATTGACTTTGTGGGTTTGCGCGCGCACGTGGATAGTCTTCTATGACAACAGGTCAGTCTCTTTTTATCATCGGTTCGTTCGTGTGCTGCGCTTCAGCTCGCCGCGTTGCTTGTGAATTTTGTTTAATTCTGCAAATTATATTTCTTAATACAATCGCACACCGCTGGCATTTGATCATAACAAGAGTATTTGCAATATAATATATGATACATTGTGATTAGAATATTTCTACATCGTGTGTTCTTTAGTGTGTTTCTGAAGAGTTCTTGTATATGTGCGCGTGTGACTTGCCGTCCACCGTCGGCCATCGAATAACTTTCTATTTAAGTTCATATATACCGCCGCCGCCTCCCTAAATCATCCTCTAAATCGCACTCAAACTTTGACAATTTTTAATATTTTTATGTTTCGTCGTGGAAATCGGGTTATATCTCGGGAACGGTTTGCACTATTAGGATGATTTTTTTATATTCTTGTAGAAGAAGAGTGTTTCTCTATGGTACGCCTTTACTCCTCTCGGAATTCAGTCAGGAACACCTACAATCGCCGTCAAACTGTGGCATTTTAAAATATTTTTTATGTTTTATCGTGGAAATCGGGTCATATTTCGGGACCGGTTGACAGTAGTGCACTATAGTAGTGTTTTTTAGTAATTGCCGCCTCCAAAATTCGAGCGGGAACAATCCTAAAATATATAATAATTTTTCTAAATGTGAAATTTAATTCTTTATTACTGTTAAAACTTTAACATTAAAAAATAATCATTTCTCTCTTGAATACATATAAGCCTTTTAGCAAACAAATACGATAAGCATGAAATCCTAGAAGAACCCTCCGCCAATTTTTGACGCGATCAGACCACTAAATGACTCACAAAGTCACCTGTATATGAATTTATTGCCACAAAATTCCCTAACGCGAGTTATATTGAAAGTTGTGTGTGTGCGCCGTAGAACTCGTTGCAATATTGAATTGTAGTTATTTCATAGTTATTATGTAGTTCATAATAAGTTTGGAATAATTTTCCCAGATGCGAAATTTAATTCTGTATTTCCCTGTATCGAAATTTATTGCATGACAATTCCGTATCGCGAGTTATGTTGAAAGGGATATTGTATGGTTGAGTCGGTTTACCGTGGGAGGGTGTCGATAGAAGTAACTCATGTTCTGGGCACCGTATGAGGGTAGCGGTAGAAGTGACTCGTGTTCAGGGCACCGTACAAGGGCAGCGGTAGAAGTGACTCGTGTTTAGGGCACCGTACTAGGGCCGTGGTAGAAGTGACTTTTCTTATGTCGAGAAATATCGAAAGTAAAAGTGGATTTCGTATATGTGTGTTATTTCAATATTGTGAATTTTTACTTTCGTCTTCTCAAGTAGGTACGTGTTTACCACTACGTTTGTTTATAAACAACTTTTTTGTTCGACTGACCTGTATTATCGCGACGTACCTGCCTTGTACCTGGCAACGCGCAGCGTTCACGGCAGTCGTTTCACCGCGTGGCCCGCGAGCGCGTCTCACTACTAGCCACGCGTTTTCAGACTTCAATTATTCAATTTATTAATCGCCGTATATTCTTTTCGCCCTCAGCTAAATATTCGTAACGAGGATGTGTGGCTGTTTTGTTTGATGAGTTGTGGCGGTTAGAGTGTCCTTAATAAGAAATAAGTGTCTGTTAATTTCTGCACGAGTTTTCAGTTGATAAGATAGGTATATTCCTGGGTCTAAAATCTAAAAAAATCTAAAAAGTATCTGGGAATTATTAAAATGACAATATTCATGTGGTCGACCACGCTCATTTTGCCGTCGACCGTCGGCTCGTTCCTCCTTTCGCTGAACGTTTTAAATCGAATTACACTCCTTTGCATCATTAAATTAAAAAGTTTCTTGTTGATCTAATAAAATCTTGTACGCTATTCAACGTTTTTTGCTATCAATATTTACAAGTAACTAGTTATCTTTATCGTATTTACCCATTGTATTACCACGTACCGTCGCTTGCCGTCTGCTGATTTGGATGCTTTCTGCCGGATGTTCTATCAATTTATGATGATGCTTCACCCGTCGGTTACCTTATGCATTTGATGCTATCATCAAATGATAAATATATACACAATATATTAAAATGTAAGTGTTTTATTCTTGTAGCACCTTTTTTACTTAACTTTTCCGTTGACTTTCGGGTAAAATCTTTGAATTTATGTTAAAATATAGTTGTTTCCGTATAAATTTCACCCGTCATGATGTGAATATTGACCATATTTGTAGTTTTTAAAATTTTTCTTTTGTAACACCCTGTTTATCAGTTTCCGGAGCATCGGGTGAAAACGAGCAATATTTGTAGTGTTTAGATGTTTTCCTTTTTGTTGGTTGAATTTTCTATTTGCTATTTTGTTTTGACTATTATTAGAATTTAACTTCTTGGTCTCTGGCAATGAGCAGCGCATGTTATAATAATGTTACGAACAAAATATGCAAAAATGGAGTTTGCTAAAATAACGAAACATAGGTCATCATTTGTACATCTTTGTTGGCTGTTAACTGCCAAAGAAACCACGATCCAGGTTTCATAATTGGGGATCGTTCTTACATGTGTTAGAGAAACACATGGACAAAATTTCATCTAAAAGTCTGGCCGTCACGGGCTCTTAGTCTATTGTATTCTATTGTTATTAAATAAATAGTAAGATATATTGAGTTCTTTGATTTGTGTACCCCTTCTATCATTTCAGGAACAGATCTCTAAGAGAGTTCCTTCTCTCTGGGGATGATCCCCACTATAAAAATTGTTAAGGTATCCTGTATGCTTTGTGTACTCCTTCTCTCATTTCAGGTACAGGTCAGAACTTGTAAGAATATTTTTAAGTGTCCCCTCTCTTGAGACGACTTAAAACTTAGAAATATTTGAACAAGGCCTTATAAGGATTGTCCTTTTAAGGAGTTTCCTCTCTCTGAGGATGATCCCCCACCATAAAAATTGTTGATATGCCTGAGTATTCCGGGGATGAAGCGCAGAGACATCGTAGCTGTAGGTTGGGCCGGGGGCAATGGACGCATCGAAGCAGCTTAGACTGTCTAACGACACGCGCCAAAAAATTTAAAAATCTGATTCCTACCCTGTTCTCTTTCTTCTATCTCCGCCTCTTTTCAACTCTACTCTCTGTTCTCTTCCTTCTATCTACTCCAATTCTCTCTCTACTACTTGTTATTCGCAACTTCCTTGCATTGTAGTATTCTCGTTTTCCGCTGTATCCGAATCCCATTTTATTTCCATTCCTGATGCGCGCACATAGGCAACCCACATTACTCGGATTTATTTTCATATTTAAGAAAACATACTCGCTCTACTGGGATTCGAACCACGAATCTCTAAACTGCAAGTATAGGCACAAGCACCTGAGCCACCGAACTCTCTTATCATATTCTATTCGTTTCAGGTAGAAATGTTGCTCTTTTATTCATGTTTTTAAAAAGAATACCTATTTTTCGTCATGCGCACACGAAACTTAAACCGAATGTTATTTTTAGACGATTCCTGAAAACGACAAAAAGGATACAAAAATAAATAAACTCACAAATATAACATTAAATTGTCTTTTATTGGAGCTCATACAAATAAGAAATTACTTTGTATGTACTTGTTTTCCTTTAACGTGTAGTGAAACCATTATCTATGGCTGTGTAACTGCTTGGCCAGTTTAATTCACAGCAAATGGTTTCACTAAACAATAAATAAAAATAAATAAATATTAAAATTAATGATTACGTTAGTTCTAATTTGCACCACTCACTTAATTATCCTTCCGCTAGCAACAGACTTTTCATATAATGATGCTTATTTGAACAAATTAACCGTTAAATAAATAAATAATAATATCCATTCGACATATTTTCAAGGGGACGGTATCCGACGGCAGCCACAAATACCTATTAGGATAAGTCACTCAATATCCGATTTTATGCGCGACAATTCAATAACTGCAAGCCACACATCCGCAAATTCATTGTCTACCATGCCACTATCACATTAATATCTCAAGAAACGCGATTAATAACTATGAAGAGAGACTAACAAACAAAACACGTGCTCACGACACCACCGCGTACAACCGACTAAGCAGGAAAGAGAATTGTCAGCCGACGTAAACATCTAGTTGGGGGCACCAGGTAGGTAATTGTAGTATTGTATAATTTTATTATTTATGTATAGGTATATCAATGTCAATTAGTTTGATACAATTTGCATTTTTAATACAAAAATTGGTTTTTACACGTCAATAGGGTTTTAATCTATAATTGTGTTACTGCATTCAGAATTTAATTTACTTTCGGAATCCAAACACAAAATTTATAAATTAAAGCACAAATCAGAATTTTATTTTGAACTAGCTGACCTGGCGAACTTCGTACCGCCTTATTTATTTAAACTTTATTACACAAAAAAATAATATTGTACAAAAGGCGGACTTAATGCCGTAAGGCATTCTCTGCCAGTCGCATCGCTAGCGACCCGCCCATGGAAGTAAAAAACCGCATCAAAATGGGACAGACAGAGAAAGCGACTTTCCTTCTCCAAACAAAAACATCAACCGGTCAATATTGTTGGCGCGGCGGGTATGTCACAAATTACCACAGATTACTAAATAAGTCATGCGAAGTTTGTATATGCGTTCTGAAATCTCACACATAGATGGCGTGACAACGGGAAACGGTTTTTTTTCAATCTTTCTGAGTCATTTTCCTAATATTTTTTTCTGTAAGAACCTTCTACAGAGTATTAGAAAACTGCCAAAAAAAATCAGCCAAATCGGTCTAGCCGTTTTCATGTGATGGCTTGACCACGCGAAACGGGTTTCATTTTTATATATAGATATATATATATAGATCATGTAAAACAATTGAAAAGTACAAACAAATAAAGTAAATAATGGATTTAATTTTTAAATGGCCGAAGAAATGCGAAAACATACCTTGATGCAAAACAAATTTTTCCGTTTTGGTATATCCAAAAAGTTGTATTGACCTTAATTATTCACATTGTAGAACCGATGAAATACGCGTATATTACAAAAAGAATACTGCGACCGACGGAACATCACTCACACTTTACCACTGAGTATGTACAATCCGCGTAGTACGAACGCCACACATCAATCGCGCACAATCGATGAAGCATTTAGAAACCCAAGAATAATAATGAAAATGTCCGTGCAAATCACCTGACGACAAAAATGAGACTAACGTGGTACACAAGCCAACCGCGTGGCGATCGCACATGAATTGCACGAGATAAGAAAAACAAGTTTGTTTGTATACACTGACACTTTCAGTGTGGTAGTGCAGAACATGAATAGAATTGGAACTATTAATTACGATTAAATTTTAAATCGGAAACCTGATAGATAATTAATAATTTTTTATAACATTAACTGTTTAGACCCTATTTACAATTTTAGAGAAAAATGTATTATCAAAGAAAAGTCAATAAAGCACAAAGCCGAATTTTATCTTAAATCACAATTGGCGACCAGCCCGAAAAAGGCCGCCAGAGGATCAAGAACGCAGCCGACGGCACGCGACATTCTTAATCTTTTTAATTCGTACATCAAACGAAAACGAAACAATGTATCGAATTCGTAATGCTAATCAACGGTGGGTATTGAAACAAAAACAACAATTAGCAAAAAACGTACTGAGCTGGTGAACGACAGGAGCGGAAAGGAGAGCAGTGTTAACTAAAGAAAACAACTAGCGCAAAAACAACTACGCCATCTAGTTGTAGGGTGTCAAACTAATAAAACTTGAATAACAAATTACAGATTTCCAAATTCTCAACAACAACGTATCAGCAGGTCACCACTAGAAGTCTATACTAATACTAAATTAAATTAAAAATACATTCAAACAAATTATACAAAGTAGCAAGCATACCTAAACCTGTTAAATTAAAGGTTGTTTTGTTTTGCAATAAACAATTTACTAATTATGCCGATTTAACTAACAGAGTATGTAATAAAAGTGCCAAAGTTTGAAGACAACTTTGGGGCTGTTCCTGTTTGATTTCTGAGGTGTATCTTGAATAACAACTCTTCTTTTATAACAATATAAAAAAATTACCCCAAGAATTATTAGTAAGCCTTTCCGTTTTTAAATAAAGTAAATTTTAAAATCCAATTAAACGTTAAATGCTGCTTGCAATAGAAAATAAAAAGATAAATAAATTAAATGCGACATCAACATTGTACAGCAACGATTGAGCCAAGAATATATTGATCGCAAGACTGCATTCAATGCTAGCGCCAACAAGTATCGGCGACACACACCAATTATTTAGCAAGCGCATGGTTTACTAGCGCTATCTAGTTTTGGCTGCACAAACTAATGCAACATAACAGGAAATTTCATTGCGCTACCCATATTTAAAGTTGAAACCTTTTCGTGGTTGAAACAATTAATTATTTGGATTCTATCAATTACCGTATCATAAGAATGGCATTTTGGAGATTTTCCAGAAATTATTTAAAATAAAACAAATAATTCTAATATATACAACCGGATACAAACAGGGTTCCCACACGAGGTTGCTTCTATTTTCTAAACCCTTAAAACGTATTAAAATCAGTGCAGCAAAACACAAAGAAAAATTAATACAGAAATTCAATACTTACAATCTGATACAAATACGGCTACTCTACGTCGTTGAGTGTAGATGCTATACACATAAAATATGCAATAGTTAGTGCCTCAAAACATAAAAATGTAAATATTGGAAATATTAAATTTAATATTATATAAAATAATATAATATTAATTCCAGGCACCCATTTTTTAAAGAACACTATACTGGATTTACTTTGCATTAAAGTGTTAAAGGACAGATTGATTATTTACTTACATGTGGTGCCTAAATCAGCCATTGGAATTTAAAAAAATAACGCATGTCAACTATTAATTGAGTAATTAATGAATTATATTATAATAAATTATTTTATCAAAGAAAACATTATAGCAAATGCGACGTTTTTAAACCAACGTGTTTTTGAGTAACTAATTTTCAGCAAGCAAACCTGACTATACAAATACCTTGATTAATTAACAAACTAACTAACATCATTTATAAAACTCAAGAGAATCTCCTATGTATACAAATATATAAATATACAAAACATTGTTAACAAAAAATAAAGAATTTTTAGATTACGCAACTTTGTCGCCTCTTATCCTTTTTTTATTTACCAAACTAACGGTAATGTCGGCGACCGGCACTGATTCCAGGCGCAACAAATCAAATTACAAAGCATCACACTTTCCTTCGGGTCCATTAACGCTTAAGCATAAACGGTGCCCAGTTTCGGTAACAGGGCTTAAGTAGAAAGAAATTACGGTGGTGTAAACTCGAGGTGTGATGTGATCTTGTTTGGCAAACGACAGCAACATATCATTTGATTTCCACCCAAACATACAGTAAAAAAGTGGGCAGCAATGTATGTGAACATTTTTTTATGCTTGCATTATATGAAGATCAGTGAGAAGAAGACCCGAACCCTGATGACGTTCGAATTGTGGTTTAAAAAAATACTGGCGCGACGTAGAAACCTCGACCTGACTAATACATGCTTATAAAAATTTAGAATTTGAAAAATATCCGATAATGACTTTCAAAGGGGAAGCAAACAACGTTCTAACGTTCCACTTTGATAGATATTTCCTCTTATAACTCAATTCATGCAATGATGCAACAAGATATCGTTTAAATAAAAGAAACAGAATCATTCACAACTGTACAGTACACAGTACCGTTAATCATCAAACTATACAAAAAATACGTTATTTTAAGGGAAGGTAGAAGTCAAGAGCAAGGTCTTAAGAATTGTGGATGATATTTAGGTGACTGTTTGACACGAAATCAATATAATTTAACATATTCGACAATTCAATGCAGTCGCCCAGGAGTAACTCGAGGCATGCGGTCGCGTGCAGTCATCTTTGGTACTTAGATGAAAAACCAAAGAAAACGCCTCTAGGAAAATATGGAACAATCGAAGCATAACGCAGTACTTATATTGGCTTTTACGGCGAAGTACCCACAACGTAAGTACTTACTACATTCTTTGACAAGTGCGGTGACGGAGATCGCGCGTGTGCCAGACACAATTGACAAAAGAACGAGAATTATATGCGGCGCAATGCGTCCCGTGTTATAATCGTCTTCTTCGGTTTTTAGGCTTTTAATTTAGTGTGGGAGCATGTTGACCGCAGCAACGCCACTGTAATGCTGTTAGATTCTACTAGTGACACGAATATGCCGACCTATATAACGGTCTTCGTGTTGGACACGTGTTGGGCTTATATTTAATGAATAGAATTAAAGACACCCCAAATTCTATGCGTTAGATATTTGTGTTGAATCATTACGTAATTTGTAAGAGTATTTTTCCATAAAATATGAAATACCGTAAAAAAATATGTGTTATAATTAACTGTTTATAAATAACTAAACAATTAAAGAAGACGAATCAAAAATTATTATGAATATTTTAAATCAGTAAGCAAATGAGTCGTAATTTTTTTTGCATTCTTTTGAGTTGAATTTTTTAAGAAAAATTTTACCTCCCTCCATATCAAGTGGCACGCGCTCGTCGTACAGGTAAGCATTGTGTAAATTTGTAAGGGAACACGGAACCGAAGCAGAAGAGTAAAAAAGAACAGAAAAAAGAGCAACCCACAGTGGTAGGGATAACGTGCAAGGGTGCATGATGCGCCTTATAAGAACAACAGGTATTGCTGCCCTGACATTCGCTCATCGAGCATCCACACGCAACAGTCATCCGCTCGTCTTCATACTTTTGCTCGTGAATAATTTCGGTAGTGCCGTATCGACACACATTTGCAATTTTATCACCGGCTAATCAATCAACAACATAATGGAATCAATTGACTACGACTGCATGTTCCTACTGGATGCACCAACGTCCTATCACCATGGTCACCATCACGACGGTAGTCTATCGCTATCACCAAACTCGTGGGAGTCCTGCTCAACCACCAGCAGCTATGAAAGTTACGAACGCCTCGACGCCGACGAAACGCATGCGCCACCGTCGCTCATCGGCCGCAAAACAAGAACCACCCCCGTTGTGATGCGCAAGCGTCGGCTTGCCGCCAACGCACGTGAACGCCGCCGCATGCAGAACCTCAACCAGGCGTTCGACCGCCTCCGCACGTACCTCCCGCAACTGGGGCAGGACCGTCAACTCTCCAAGTACGAAACGCTGCAAATGGCACAAACCTACATCTCGGCGCTGTACGACTTATTGGATCAACCTAACGATGCGTAATTGTAATTGTAATCGTTTGTAATTTATTGCCAAAGTGCCGACATCGTGAGACGGACTGTACTAATGAATGTACTACTAGTTGTAATTGCGCTGAGAGAAACGTAAGGAAGCAGAACTAAGTCAATCGTCCTAAGTAAATAAGTAAGTATAGTTAGAGTAACGCTTGAGAAATGTATCATAATTGTTTGACGGATTACGTTGTTGATTAGTTTTAAGTCGTTACGGAGTTTGTACATTATCAACATGATTACCGTGCCAGTATTATTATTAATAGGGATTCATTGATGATAAGACATCAATACAACAATGAAAAAGTATTATGTATGCTGTGAATTAGTTTTTGTACTCTTAGAAATAAGTTTTATCTTAGTAATAAATAAGTTTATTATCTTAAATCAAATTTTATTATTGTGCTACCCAAGAATTCCCAGGAATATTAATTTTTCAGATTAATATTTTACGTATAAAACAGTAAATCATTCCATCTTAAATTAAAGTCGTAAAATCAAGCGGGTTTAAATGCAGGTAATTTGTCATGTGAGCTTATGTAACAACCATAAATTGTTTCATCGATATAGATCATAATATTTGGCAATATTAATCAAAGCAAAGCGGAGCATATCAACTTTTCATACCAGCATGTAAGTGCAAAAAACTAACAGATTTGCTAAAATTTATTTACTTCAAAGGTTGTTGTACTATATTTTCGTTAAAGCAAAAAATAATAAAATGATATTTAATATGAGATATAAATTTCTAGGTGAGTTTAAATGATTACATAAACATTGTCGTTAATTAATTGAATGCTGCGTGCTAATCTTCTAAACTTTGACATTAACACCAAAAGTGAAAAAAATCTAGAGCACATTGTGCAAATTGACCGTTAAAACGATAAAAAATTACAAAACATTACAACACATTAACTGGCATTCCGAATGTCTTCTACTTTCATAATTATCAACGCGTAATATGTAAAGCAACACAACATATCAAAATCAATTTATAAGTATATTATTACAAAATTTAAATTTCCATTTGATGATGTCAATGATGTGCACATTTAATCTATCATAAATCATCATGTATCTTGTTGAATTAATTAAACACCTGCGATTAAATAACCATTTTTACGCGTGTATAAAATGTGTATGAAATTGAGATTTGCGTCCACCTTTCCTGCATTTAAACTAAGATTTACCGATGAAAGTCAATGTCAAGCCTTTCTTGCATAAAACACTAAGTTAAAATACTCGTAATATATTAGAGATCGTAGTAGAGTCAGACAATGCACGAATTTGTAAGATGTAGGTGAATGTCAATATATTACAATCCGTGTCGGTGTAGTAGGACGCCGCCAACGATTAGAAGTTACTGAGCATGAAACGACATGCAACTCTCGATTTCTACTTATAAACATTAATACGAGTATGTAGCTGAAGAAAAACATATCAGCGTGATTAAGTCTGTTAAGCCTAGGCGCCATTCGAGTATTTGATTTTAATGTTAGGTCGGTGATATTAAGTAAATGAACCAGTTGGTACACATTTGCATTCTCTTATATAATCTGCCATAAACTAATAATATTAATATTCAGTTTGTTTTGCATACACAGTGTGTTTAAAAATTGTATTTGTTCGGCCAAGCGTAACGTAGAAAACGAAAGTGTTATCTCCAACTACAATAATTAATTATCGTATGATTAATGCATTTTCAATCAGTATTAATGTGATAATTTTTCAGATTCGGTTTGACATGATAGAATTTTGCATTTAAATTGGGTAGCATGTGGACATAAACAGAAGTTTCGTTACCTTAATTAATACGTACGCAAACCTGGCGTTGATTTAGGTCTGCGCCGATTTTGCAAACGATTGGCACACACCGGCCAATCGACGAATTATTAAAAAAATTGCATTAATTTTAAAATTAAAATCAACTTTTGGCAAGTTAAAATTTTTGAAAAGAAGTGTATGTAAAATCATATTATTACTACCCACTCAACACAGCAGGTACATTGCGCAGTTTTTAATAATTTACTGAATAATATTTGTAATTTAACGCATTTTAGTTTAGTAAACGATCAATGACAAATTGTTACACAGTAAAATATTTCAAAGCAAACAGATTTTATTACGTTTCATTCTTGTAATTTTCTTGTTATTTTCTATAATAGAGTATATTGAAACATGTGCAACAAAATATATTAATAAATTGGTTCGAATGTAGCGATTGTCCGGTGGTCGCCGTTCTTTTCTAGTTCGAAGGTTGCAGTTTCAATCTCTTGCACTCTTGCGCGCTCTAATTAATTAACAATAAAATTTGTTCGGTATTCTAGCATTGCTTAATGATAGCTTGCTGTTCATTCATGTTCGAATCAAATATTAATTGTTCTAGGAACCTGACTACTCTAAAACACCTGTAGCAAGTTAGTCATGCTAAGAATGTCAAATTAATTTATTTCATGGGCAAACAATTCCATGTAATAAATAAATCACTTCATTTGTAAACGCATGGATTTTTCGAGTTCTCGTGTTCGATTAACTACAGTCGAAGAATCTAGTGCAAAATAACTAAAAACCCGGCGGTGTGCTCGGTGCTCACCTCGTGTGGATTGCAGCGTGAGTTATTTCGTTGACGAAATGAAAGTGTATCACCAGTGCCACCGGTGGCTACCGGCTGGCCGGCGTGGTGGGCACGCGTTGCACAATTTCGCGTATACGAAACGCAACGCACACACAAGTCTTTGGTCATATGCACGAGAATTACCTATTTGCGCTTTGGCTATTACTTATAACCTAGTCATAATAGCAAAAGCAAAAAACTATCTCTTTTGCACCTACAGCATTTGGAACTGCGCGGGTCTTTGTCTGGCTCAATCGGTTTGATCGTAGCGTATGGACCGGAATAAGCTATGTGGTCATTGGAGTCGTGAAGGCCTCAACACGGGCGTGAAGAGACAAGAACCTATGCGGCGAATACACGAATCCGTGTTATAACATAGTTATGCGTTGCTATTGCACGGATTTGAGGAAACTCTATATAAGAACCCGCGACTTCAGCACGGGCAAATCACTTCGCGGTTGGGATTCGCGTCGTTTGTATCCTCTTCGAAAAATTTATCAAAATGTGGATTAAATTCTGGGTTCGTAAAATTTGGAATATACTAACAACACTTACAACATGTGCTCCAAACGTGAATTACATAACATAGGATACTAAACAACCAATAATAAATTGTTGTGTGGATAGTGTAATTGTGATAATTTTATTTTACAGTCTGCTTGTTTGTTGGTAACTCTGGTCAACGCCGAGTACCTCTACGATTCAAACCCCTATGCTCACTTTGGAGGATATGCATCATCATATGATAACTATGTAAGAATCAAAATCTAATCTAAATTATTCCCAAACAAAGAACGTTTAACCCTTTCTTGTTTAGAAACCAACAAACTACAAATTCGAATATGGAGTGTCCGACCCCCACACTGGTGACCACAAGTCCCAATGGGAAGTGAAAGAAAACGGAGTAGTTCGTGGAGCTTACAGTCTCCTAGAACCCGATGGCACAACCCGTCTTGTAGAATACTACGCTGATGACACTGGTTTCCATGCTGATGTGAAGAAACTTGGAACTGCCATTCATGCTGCCCCCGAATATGGACAATTACACAGTCTTTCCGAAACCCACATTGCCAACAGTCTTGCTTACAACGGTTACGGCCATGGAGGTGTCTCCCACAACTACGGTGCTCCCATCGCTGCTGCCGTTAAAGTGGCAGCTGCCCCTATCCCGGTGCATCATGCCCCAATCGCCCAAGTGCAACATATCGCCCCTGTCCCACAAGTGATTGCCCCCCAAATCCATCACTTGGGATCTCCTCATGACTTCGGCTATGGACAAGAAATCTCGCACATCTACTCTTCTGCCCCGGAAGCTCACTATCATGACCATCATGATCATCACGAGAAAGTGTACGCTGCTCCAGTGCCAGTGCTTCAACACCCAGCCCCGTTCAAGATCCACGCTGAACCTCATTACGAACAAGCACCAATTATCAAGGAATACACTCCTGCTATCGCCCACTATGCTGAACCTCAAATTGTAAAGCAAGTTGTGCAACCAGTGGTCAAATATGCCCAGGCTGCCCCAGCCCCAGAATACTACGCCAACTACGCTCCGGAACCTGCGTACGTAAAATACGCTGCCGCACCAGCACCCATTGTTGCCAAATACCCCGAACCAGTTTACGCCCATGCTCAGGAATATATCCAACCTCAAATCTATGCTGCTCCTGCCCCAGCTCCCGCACCAGTTGCGAAAGTTGCCGTCGCTGGAAAAGTTCAAGCTGTAAATCCCTTCGCACGCTTCTTTGCACCTTTTGCAAAGTACTTCGCCGCTCCAGCTCCAACTGTCAAAACCGTAGTGGCGCCAGCCAAAGTAGTGCCAACTCAAGCCGTGTACGCTGAAGCTCCAGTGAAGTACGTCGACTATGACGCCTACCAGGGATACAAACCGGAAGTAGTCATCTCGTCGCCGCATAATTACGGCCCCAACCCCGGCTACTCCTATAGCCACGACTACTAAACTGTTAATCAGTTGCACACTTCACACCCTTTTCGCCACTGACATTCCAAACACCTTAAAAAGGGTTTGCAACAACCCTTACGGTATAATACATAAAGTGAAATTAAGACATCAAACGCAGCGTCAAATCCAAAAAAGGGTTTAATTAAGCACAAACGGACAAAGCAATCAAAGGCTATCAAAGCTCATGGATATCACCATCCATGTTATTATCTAAACATTCTTAGATCTTCTATTTTTTCATCTACATAATTACTATTCTACCCTTAATTCCTAAAACCCGTTCTATTTGGTTAGTTTAGTTGTCTACGGCTGAAACCATTAAGTGTGTACAATGTTATAGCTATATTTATTTTTGTTTGGCCGAAAATGAAACGACGATCGACGATAAACGAATATATTTTTATATACGCCTAGGTATATGTGTAATAAAACAAAAAGATATATATTACGAAATAAAGTTAATTTAACCCGAAAACGTTTTCCATTTTTATTTGAATTTCTAGTTCTCTAGGTTGTGATTTGAGATGCAACCCTCTATAATCGTCCAGTATTAGTCCATCTAGAGCAAACAACTTCATCGCATGCCTTATAAAATTATCATAAACGATGCGTTGAATCGCAAGAACAAACAACCGAGCAAAGTGCTTTTTAAAGACGGGCGATAAACATTAAATCGAGAGTGGCTCGCCGAGGCGGCTCGAAAGCCACGCATAAATGGCAATCTTTATGTTTTATTAACGGGTTTATTATTAGCAGTGCGGTTGGTCTTGAATTTCGTGGACACTAGACATTTTTCTCACGAGTTAATCATGTTCATCATGTCGGAAGAAAAGCAACTGTTGCAATACAATACAAAAAATCAATGCAAATTAATTTCATTTCATTAGTTTGAATGATTTATGATTTACGTAATATTAAAACAATCAAACTGGAAAAGTTACAACTTCATTCATGAGCTACTACATTATTTAATGCGTTTCCTCTTTGAAGAACTCATCAATCAACACAAATGAACCTCCGAGTTAATTGTGACGTGTTTCCATCTTACAACTTTTTTGTTTTTATTTTCTACTATAAACACCGTTAGAATTTGCGGAACTGCGTGTTGCCACCCACTGTGACTGTGGCTACTTTAATTCCACCCTTAATTACCACAACATAATTCACGTCCACATGCCAAAAATTATAATATAAAACGCGCCGCAGCATAAAATTTAATCAACATACATAAATTGTTTCGAAACGCCGACGAAATTCCACACGGAATTTTGGTGAAGGTCAAGATTGGCTACGTTCAAGCCTTAAGGGTTAAAACAAACGGAGAGAATGCCCTAAAGCAATGAGAACCTTGCTCTAGAATCCAGATTGCTACACAAACGAAGCAGGTATTTTTAATTCAATATAAAATTATGTAAGAAAGTTTGATTAAAAAAATCGTAAAACAAAAGTTTCGGCTCGTGCGCCAAAAAGACAAACTGTTTAAGGGTTGCTGATGATTAATTACATATGGCGGAAAATAATTAAGACATTTGTGTTTGTAAAATCATTAAAACTTTAAAACAAAACAATTAATCTTCCTAGATTGTTCGTGTTTTTTACAGATGATAAAAACTTGATTGCAATCTTAATTTTGAACGTTTTTAGTAAGGGGTAAAAGTTGAGAAGGTAAATATCATTAGTAATAGTTAGGTTTTATCATAGACGTGTGTGGGCCGTTAAATTTTTGTCTTTTGTCAATGAAACAAGAAAAGGGATGCGCGAAAAATTGTTAATGCACATTAATGTGCTATATCTATTATTCCACGCTATTATTCCCACCCTTTCAGCACGTTTTAAATTCGTTTTTCTTTCATCCGAGTGCGATTATTGCGGTACCAGTGCGATTTGTGGTGTTGACGACCACCGCGGCGTATTAACGCGTCGGGGGCGCAGAGTTATCGCCGGGTTAATGTGAGGGATGCTTGCGGTGAACAATGGGGTGCCGAAACTGACGTTGTTGCAGTGTGAACGATTCATTCATTCGTTCCGTGGCCTAATATCGGCGCTAATTAACATAAATTAAAAATTATACGCTGCCTTGCGTTTAGTGCTGAGCATAACGGAGCGAAAACGAAAGTTAAGTTTACGAGGTGTGATGTTGCAATGAATGAATTTGCATTGATTGCATTTGCATCACATTACAAAAGGCAAACTATTTTTAAATCGGGTGCAAATTTAAGTATAAATTGGATTGATTTTTTTGTTAAACATTTTTATGACTAAATACTTGGAATTGTGATTTTTATTTTTTATTTGCGATGTGAGCAATGTTCACACAATAATCGTTCAAGTGATTGACTGGGCAGCTATGAAGGATATCATATTAAAATTTTTCAACCTCCATTCTCCAAAGGAATTAATTGTAACGTAAATTTTACGGCGCGTCGAATAAAACTCGGTATTTACGTAAATTGTAAAATATAAACTATAAACGTAAGACGTCGGCAAGTCATACGATGTGAATTCAACAACGAGTGTATTATTATGACTAAATAGAAATTGCATGCGTCGAATGTCGTAAGAAGCAAGAAATTCCACAGAAAACCGAAAGGTCGTCGCTTAAGTTAGCAAAAACAACGCTTTCCGATATATCAACATCCGTTTTTCAATGTGTTACCAATCTATCAAGCGGCTAATTCTATGAATTCGCGTATTAAACAAGCAAAACATTTTGTAATATTACTGCAACCACGCAAACAATTCTCGTGGAAATTTAGTAATAATAAAATGACCGAAAATATAAAATAAAACAATCGCATGTGTTCGCATGAGTCTAATAATAATCGCCGAGCTTTTTAGACATTTGTTTGCTTTGGAGAATGTTCGTAGTCATTTGTACTTGTTAGTAGAACAAATGACACGTATTAATGTCATTGTATTTCCAGCAAGACTTTAATTTCAAGTCGAAATTTCTCACATTTCTCGGATTCGTTTTTCCTTATAGCACCCAAGGCAACTGCACTAAGTAAATTTGGCCGCTGTAAAGTAAAACAAAAGCAATCGAGAACACGTTTCGGCAATTTAAATTTCTGCAAATTGTACTAGGAGCTTAGTCGGGAATGCGCAAAATGCATACGCGTGGCATCTTCCAGCCGCAAAAAATGCACGCGTACAAGTTTCGCGTCACCTCGGGGGCGAAAGACGCGTGCAATTCGCACTGCAGTCACACATAAAAAAGAACCAGCACCAAAAAACAAAAGAGTAAAACGTCTAATTACGACGTCAAATTATTCACCACGCGCACACACTTTTTTCATTACGGATAAACACAAGCGAATAACTGTTAATAAACAATTGTTGTACATAATTCGGTTGCAGTTGGGATTGGCAAAAGCTGGCCAAATAAGTGCTAAACATGCATAAATTCTCCACGCGTAATGTGCCATTGTGTGTCGTCTTCTTTTTGTTTCTGACGCATGAAAATAATGCGTCCGTAAATATTTTAAGGCTCCGTCGTTATCCACGGTCATTTATAAAAATTATTTTTTAATTTCAGTTCAAAAACCGCCGGCATCCGGTAATTGCTCACCCCTGCGGATAGTAAAATCACGCCGGCCGTTCGTGCGAGCTGAGAAATTCATTAGTGTCACTCGAAATTTTTGGTACCAACAAGACCTGCGTGCATCTCGTGTGCAGGCAGAAGGACACTCTTCATATTTATTTAATTGAATACCGTGCCGTAGCCCGTTATAATAACCGTAATGAATAGGTGCTTTAAATCAATCAAAAACCCAAACGAAACCAGTTCTACCGACTGGCCTACGACTACTGCGCGCACTTACAATACAAGTGTAGTCTATGATGTAACTATTAACTGGTTGGGAGAATCTTACGTTAACTGTGTTGTCCTAGGACGTCAAACTTTAACTGTAATTGTAGTGGAAGTGCATTAAAAACTATGAATGAAAAGGCTTGAAACTCTTGAAACACTACAATTTTAATTTTACTAATGTTGTTTGTTTTTGGGTCTTAAAATGTACAATTTTAGACTTTCTCAATGATAAACCATATTATTAGTTGACTAATCACATTTTAAATTAGTTTAAATAACCATGTGTGTTGCCATATTAAAAGAATAGTAAAAATTGCAAAAGTGTCAATCAATTTAGGTCAAAAAATCGAATGTGGTCGAAACGATTAGACTTTTAAGCAATGTTAACACTTGCGGTTTGAATATTTTTAACGTGTCACGGTTATTAGGCGCTTTATTCTCCGCACAAACGCGAGTGTAAGTACGTAAAGCCATAAAAAGTAACATGATCTTGATTCCCAAAGCGGTTTTACGCTAAATTGCCTCACAAAACAGTTGATACTGAATTTCATCGCATCACAAAAAAGTCTACAACGTTCACACAGTTACTTTCATCCTCAATGAGACAAAATGACATTCAACCCTTTATTTACTTTTATAGCTTATAAACGAAAGAAATTCGGGTGTTTAACACTGACCTAGGCTATGCTTATGCTTAAAAATCGTAGATTGTCATCTTTATGACCAGTTGATGGAAGCAAATGTGTACGCTGTGTTGCGGTCTTGGACTACTGTATCAGATTTTTCAATTTTGGGATGAATTTAGTGTGATCGCGCGATATGGGTCGGTGCTGGTTGAAACTAAAAGACCCTCCGCAGCGAATCTGACGAATTGATCAAGCATCGATGTGACATGAAAATTTCACTCGGCTGCGCTTTGATGATGATGAAACATACCTTCACGTAGAATAAAAACACTCATACAATTGTTTGGAATAGTGCACAAAAAAATCCACATAATATATAACAATATGTACGTATTCAATTGTTTTGCAATCATACAGAACAAGGAGTTATTACGATATTACTGTTATTAGTCGTTGGACAAATTGAGGTTTTTGCTTCGTTCCGAGTTTTTGTCCTATTTTGACCAAAATTGGTGGAATTTCATAGCAAACAAGCAACCAAATTCGATGACAAAGCAAATTGAATGCGTTCGAGTGTTTTCCAATGTTACTCAATGTTTCTAACAGCAATTAATCACCGAAAACAAACAAAACATCGAAACAGAAGCAAAAAATGTGGCAGTTGATAATTTAACCACAATTTTTGAGCGTATAATTTTCGCTGCTTTATTAAATGCCGATTTTATTGGTAGGTAGACATCGATGTTTCCAAGAAACCAATTCGATCAATTTGTACCTCCTATTTTCGCAGTTTATGAATGACCAAATCACCACTTTCAAAATCGGGAAGGTTTAACAAGGTAAATGCACAAAACTCACCTAAATCTACTTGATTATTTGATAAAACTTCCAAGAAGCATCTTTTCAATCGTCTTTCACAAATGATTAAAAAATTCAGAAGCTACGTGATCCAATTTTGACTTTTTTCAAACATCAAGATTTTATCACTGACACTAGAATTTCTAAACATTTTCACAGCTTTTTTACCTAAATATACCGGTATCCTTTTGTATTGAACTAATTTTGATCGTAAATCCAGATAGTATTAATTCTGATTGAGTTTGTTTGCCCACCCATCCCAAAAATTTAAGTAATCTTTCACTCACCTCAACACTTTGGTACACTGTCAGCCAGTTGGTAATGGTGTAACCAGAAGAAAACGAGAACCTTGGTCCTAATTGGATTATGCATTCGCATATGTAATGCGTGTCATTATCGCATTGTGATGCAAAACGCAGCCAATGTGCACTTGTAAGCAGCTAGAAGCAACGAAAAAAAATTGCATTTTAAAACCAGCATTTTGCACACAGTGATACGAGTTTAATGACTTCATCCAAACTCAAAACGCATAATTTTGCCACCCGCAAATGAACAAATTTACAATAAAATTAATGATTGATTTTCTCCATGGGAAGCTGAACGTATTATTATAATAGAATTAAAGGATGAAAACGATTAGAAAACAACAATCGATTTTCTCCGCGATTGATTGTAACCTCGCGTTATTTTTATTCATTCCGATGAATGGAGGATGTTAAAACCCGTTACGAAAAGTCAAAGAATGTAAAGAAATAAAAAATAAAGCGAATGTAAACTATGAAAGGGGAGCAGGTAGAACGTGCTACAACATATGTGATCAAGCTCATCAGTGGGTGCTCATCGTGTTCGACATATGTCCAGGGTTGATTTTCAAGTCAACCCTTTAATAAATAATCCCGATAAAAAATAAAAACATGAAAAACATTTCATTTTCTACTAAAAACTACGATTTTACGAGTATTGAATCAAATTAGGTTATGTGCGAAAATTCTAGGTTATGTTTCCTTAGATTAAGCAATGTGTCAAACAGCGAGACAGATTAACTCGAGCGGAACACTTTCGTTCTCCGAGGCGCGCAATCGCCCGCAGATAATTATGAATAATTATTAATTAGCTAAATGCAAGGTTTGCTCTCGTGCAATGCTCAAACATAGTTGCTTGCACAATATTGTGAACGTCGCATACAAATTGCCCACCGCAATTAAACCAGCAATTATTAATCCACGTTGTCTTTGGCAATTCTAGTTTTATTTCTAATACAACTGTTGCGCTGTTAAAGGAAACCTATGACGAATAATCAAAGGTGAAAATTTTTCGTCGATGAGTAATAGAACAATCTTTTGTCATTAACTTCGATAACCTCGAGCACACAATTGCGTGTAAATCTAAAACAAATCAACGCGTACAAACGACAAAATATAGAATCGACGACCTTTGCCGTAATTTATTTCTTGTTAATTTTCGAACACAAATAAGAAATGGATACTACTCGCAGCGAGTGGTAATTCTTTTTGTATTTCTACAAGGCAACACCCACAAATTGACAATTATTTATTTATTTCACGTTTATGTTACTTGTGTAATTTGTTTGTAATAGGTTTGACATGTATGGGCGTTTTCGTATTGTTGTTCGTTTTTTAGCGACCTTGCTGCACATGCTATTTGGCAACATGAGGCGTTCTTTCGACTAGAAAATTACGCATTTGCAAAAAAGAGTGAAATTCAATATAAATATGAATTCAATTACGTTTATCACACTCGGGATGATGTATGTCATTCGGTATGTAGGTAAGTGTAAAAAGGTACATGGAAAAATGGCCGACACTTGAGGGCTTTCCGACGGGTGCGCCACCGGGCGTCAAGCAAGAGGTTGATTTTCTTCCGCCCTTGTGCTCCTTGGTGTGCTTCTGACGCGGGGCAGCATCCCGACGGCGCACGGCGTCTGCTCTACATATGGAGCGCTATCAACAGATGGTCGACTCGTTGGCGATGGCTCGTTCCCGATTGCCTTTTTTCATGCTCGGACAAAGGGGTGTGGAACTGGGTCTCGAGCACAAATAATACGCACCTAGTAGGAGGCTGAACTGCGCATAAATGTTCAATAAATCCTTGAAATTTGCTATTTAAGCATTTTTTTGGTAAAGAATAGGGTTGCAAAATTGACTTAGCAAAGGTTAACATTTTAGAGGGTGTGGAGAAGTACTCTTGACCTCACACACCGTCCGTTTTCTTCATAAACTACTTAAGTCAACTCGGGATGAGTTTGTTAAGTCGATTAAGTTCTCATTCCTTCATTTTTTAATCATTTCCCAACAATTGACAAAAGGGACATTGAGAGATCAATTAAGAAACGCTGAAGAGTTTTTGACGCTGTTTTGCAGCGTCATGCAACCGCGACTGAGTATTAATAAAGTCGTTTAGAAGCATTTAATTTTGTATTATTCCAAGTTTTGGGACGCGGTGAAGTGGCATTCATCGATGTGATGTGTGAAAATCAAAACCATTGGTGGTCGATGCTTAAAAACAACTTCAAATTTCAGCATTTGCCAAACTTCTTGTCACTTGACAAGGAAATCCTTCCCAGAAAACACTAAATTGGTTAAGACTTTGATGAATTAGAGCAAAATTTTTGAAATTGCAAAATAATATTTATGTCACGCCTTGATGCAAAACTTTGTTTCCAATATTGCACGAAAACCTACGCAAACAAGGGTTGTGTATAAAGTATATTGAAATATTGATGGTCACACCCCAAGTGTCAGTTACTACCTGGCAAATTTCGACACACCTAAAAGGGTCACAATTAAATTTATGTCAAAAAACTCAAAAATTTACTTTTTGCTGACATATTGCTTATTGGAGTAAAAGTTCCAAGTAAAATACATAATTGTATAATTTCTGAGAAATTAATATTTTGAGCACGTGCTCAATTTCTTTCATTTAAATAATTTTGCCGACTCGGGTAATATCTTTCTTTTCGAGGAAAGTATGATAATTTTTAGCGGTTAAACGTGAGTGCTTTGCGGCGTGCCACAAGCTAAAAAGTGTAGACCACCTCTGAGTTTATATTAAAAAATTGTAGGGGTTGCCGAGAACCCTACAAAAACTCAATAATAAACTTTCCTGCTTCTATGCTTCTATGTCTAATGAAAAAAGAAATAAAGTGTTCACGAGCGTAAATTTTGCCGGCCTTGATTGTGAAAGAAAAAGTCAGTAGGTGGATATTACAGCTAATTATTTCTAACTTATTTGTCGGACGGCCAAGGCGTTGATTAAAAATTATTGATCAATTTTATTTCAATCCGTTGATTCGTGCAGACAGACCTGCTTTGTTTGCTCACCGGATTGTTTTGTTCTTGATCTGGATAGCGAGCATCCTGTCTCGCGTTTGAATACGTTTTGGACGTGACTTATAAGAGGATGCAATTAAGTTTTCATTCCAGTTGGGTGGCGCATTTGGTTCACACGAGAAAAGACACTTCGCATAAATGCACGACTAGATTTTCAACCCGGCTATATGAAACGATATGACACCGGACAGGAAATATTATTAATATGAACGCGTATCCTTCACCTTACCGCCTTTTATAAATTTATAGCGATTTTGCTGTGGTGTATGGAAGCAGGAAGTTGTGAAGTCTTACAAAATCGATACGAAAATGAAAAATTTAGCAAAATTAAAGTGCACTTCCTTGTAGTTCCTAGTTTATGGCCATTAAGAAGTAAGGTTTCCATGCTATAGTTTCGCCACTTTTTTCGGAAAAGTAATTAAGTGATAACATAGCAAAACTGGCAAAATTTAGAAGTTTTCAATGTGTATTTGTTTCATGTACTTGAAGCGTTTATAACCGTTTTAAATTTAATGTTATCTTAAACGATTGACACTGAAGGCAACTGAGAACTGAAATAATCGTTGTTTTGGCTTTAATGTTTGCCTGCTAATGTTACTCGAGATAACAATCGAAGGTGCTAAACGGTCATTACCAGATATTCAGGGTGCGAGTTGCAGTTTGTCAGTTTCAGACCTGATCGCGTCCTCAAAGATGTCTATCGTCATAAGTGTTTTTTACGTTGACATCGAGTGATTCAAGATGCTCAACTTTTCCTCAACACCAAACACTAGAAACATCAAGTTTTTGGCGTTTTCGAAACTGTCGAGGTAGAAAATTCACGGTGAAGCGCGTTGAAGTCGCTGAGACAAAAGAGACCACAAGGCGCTTCTGTTTCGAGACGTTTTACTGTAAAGAGAAACGCGTTTTCATCATGGCGACGGCGTCGGAGGGGAAATCTGCCGGCGGTTCCGGTTGGCGGGCACGCGGGCGCGCGTCCAACCGCCTGCCGCACGCCACGCTCGCCAACTGTTAGAAAGGTTTGCACGGAAGTGTGCCCGAGACACGCGCCCTCGACAGCCGAATCGCAAAGAAACACCAAGTGTTTCAACATGAACCCATATCACACTATAAGGCACAATCAAATCAATCAATATTCATTAAAATAATCCAAAAACAATTAAAATGTGACAAGTTGACGCAATTCTACAAATCAATCAATAAAATTTTAAATTTTATAAATTTTGCTGTTTCAGAAGACCCAGTAGTTAACAACTTAAATAGATAATTGTATTGATGCATCGGTTTTTGTGCGCAGAAAGAGAAAAATAAATTACAAAATTTGATAATTCTGAATCGCCGCAGAGAATCACCGAGTTGACCACATGACAGACGACACACTGCACGTGGCATTCTATAGACTTGCAAATTTTATTCTTCATGTTGAAATATTTTATGCAAGTATTTTATTGTATGCATTGTGACAATAATAAGTTTATACAGGAACAAGCACTTGAATATTGAATATACTTTTCCGGTTTTGACTATTTATTGTCCTATTATTCAAATATCTACTTTAGTATTAAGCTAGTTTTCGCATCAGTTGATGAGAGAATACAAAACAGAAGCTTTCTGAAGTGCAAACCATTCTGAGTGACCACTGACCGTCATAAATTCGTCCGGCTCCGAGTAGACCTAGTCGCGTGGGCATCATTTATTGCAAAAGTGCTTACAAACGTGGCGACGCCGCCGAAAATGTGGAAACAATGCGTCAGGATCCGGAACGGTAATGAGAAGCCAAAAATTGAGAGGTGCGTTTCGTGTTTGGCACCAATCTCTCACCGCGGCGTAAATACACAGACAGTTCGGTTGATAGGTTAACGACGTGCGAGCTTTTGTTTGTTGCTTTTATCGATTTTGGCCTTTTTTAGTGCGTTTTCGCTTTCGTTAAATAGCGTGTAGCCAAACAGTTTGCTTCATTATAACAACGTTATGAGGCAATAAAACAAACAAAAGTTCCGAAAATAATCGGCGCGAGACGATAGAACACAAGGCGCCCTAGACATCAAAGGTAGAATTAA